CTAGCTGTCCTAGTTGACAATATAATTACAATAATTCTGTAAGTGGGACATATAAGGACATAAAATCAGTGGAAAACAGAACAAGGAAGTATAGTTTAGAACACTTGAGCTTTATCCATCTTTTTTGATACAATCTTCATCCAGTCTTTTTTTCCTGGAAAAAAGGAAAGTGAAATCTGGAAGAGTTGTGACTTTCATTTGAGAATCAAGTACAAATGCAGGGCAGGACAGTTAGCAAGGGGGAAAGGAGACATCTACATTTTTATGAAGTATGAGTAGATTTATGCCTATTTATTTTTTTAATATTACCTTGTGATTGGTATTTTTTAAAATAAAAGAAAGGTTTGAACTAATACGCACTTTCCCAAACCAATTGGGTGTAACCTCGCAGCAATCGATGAGATGGTTACACATGGCTCTGATGATCCTTCCCTGTGCTGTGCTGATGGATCTGTGCAGGCAGACAGTGCCTACACAGAGAGGCAGAACTGAGTGACTGGGGTGTGAGTAACTCACACACACCACTGCCAAGAGGGGCCCTTGAAGGGGCCTTCAATTTATCCTTTTGACTGCAGCAGGAGCGCTGCTGATGGTCGTGATGGCAGGATCTTGTATACGCTGCTTTACCTTAGTTTCTGCTTTTCTCTGTGAGGTTCATACTGTTCCAGTTGCTCTGAATTTTAATGTCTGTACCTGGCATGATACAACCATTTCCTTTCATAATGGGACCTTTCATACCCTTTTTTCCTTTCATACCTGACACCTTGTCTTTGTTTGTGGCCATCAGAGACAATGCTGATGTCTTTAAATTCTTTACTCTCTCATCCTAGGCATCTTGTTCACGGCCTGAAAATTGAGATTGAATGGGAAGCTTGCAGTTTAAACTAGAAGCACTTGTTATCTTCTGTTGGAATTTTTGGAACAGCAGTTTCACTAACTTTGAGCACAAAGGCTTGTTTTTTCTTTTATCTAATGGAAGGAAAGAGAAATTTCAGACTAGCTGCTATTTGTTTAATGCAGTATTAGGGCAGCTGGCAACACGGGCAAGGACTCTTAAGAGGGAAGTGGCTTGGTTCCTTTTCAAACAAGTGTACATTTTCCCCTTGCTTGTGCTTTGATATTCAGTTTGTAAATGGAATTATTCAAGATGCCTTTATCTGCTCTGCTGTACTGTTGATGTGTTACCTGTTTATCTCAAAAGATTAAGTTATTTTAACTTGAACAGAACAGTTCAGGTTCATTTTGTCACATGATGTTGGGAGTAGTTATACAAATCAATGAAGAAGAAAAGCTTTTCATTCTGAGAATATAGGGGAAGGTTTTAAGACACCACATGTATTCAAGACCTTAATAGTGTTAGAAGGCTCCTGAATTTTTCTCTTTTCTCTCAAGTATCTTTTTTATTTGTTTAGATTTTCTTATAAATTGTTTCTTGTTTGCTGTAGCAACTTTCTACTTAACTTGAAATACCATTTAGGAGAAACCTCACATTCTCTTGAAAAATATTTTGACTGACTTGCCCATGCTGGAGTACTCACAGGTTTCTGCTGGAATGCCATGTCTTGGGTGCCACCTATGACCAAATAAACAGGATGGTTTCTGCTTAGGAATTACTATTATGCTAAATTATTTTCTCAGGCTCTTTAATGCCGTATTTTGACCACTCAAATGATGTTCAGATATAAACACATTTGATAAGAAAATGTGTACCCTTCTCTCATATTCTCTTAAAGATGCCCCACCACCACAATATCAAAAGAATTCATTTTGCAGTAAGTAGGCATTTTAATAAATTCCACTAACACGGTGTAGGTTTATGACCTACACAAAGGAACAGAAGAGTTGATGATCTCAATTAAAACACCCAAAGCATCAGGTCCACAGTTTCCATGTCTTGCACACCAGTATTTTTGGACTGAGACTTAACAAGAGCTGCTGATGAGAACACAGTGGGAAGAAGCAGAATTCCCACCTTGTATTGTAACTGAGAAACTGCAAGGAAGTTGTCAGCTTGTGTCTGTTCTCTACCCTAATCCTCTGTTAGCTACTGCCAGCACTGGGCCTCCCAGGAAGTGCATGGCTAGTTAAAAAATATTTTATTCTCACTTCAGGCTCTTTCTGATGAAGTGGGTTTTATAATAGTGCTTCAAATTACCAGTGCTCCACCACTCCACMAGTCTTTCCTTCTGAAAAGTTTCCTTGGCAGCACCAATGTAATTAGGATCTAACAAAAATCATCTTAAATAAATAAGTAAATGGAGGGAGTGGGGTGGAGCAAAAATAACCAAAGTGTCTTTTCAGAATAAACTTTTAGTCTCAGATATTTGAATTCAATTTATCATGCAGCTGTCCCCCTTTCCAGTATGATGTGGGGTAAAGCACAAGTTGTGGTGATTTGGTAGATGCACTTGGAACAATGTAAATGTCTTATCCTTTGGATATTCTGAAAATAAAAGCAGGCAACTACTTGCTAGTTACATTGAATGCTGAATTGATTTGCTTTAGCAGGCACCACCCTATAGGGATGAATATGTTTCCCTAAAGAGGAGGAGCAGATGATGCAATTTAAATTTTTTTTAAGTTCTTCTCTTCAGCTTGTGTTTTCCTGCAAGTTTTCTTCATACACAGAGGGATTACGACTCTTCTCTCAGTTCTGTACAACAGCTTCTCCAGGAGTACATTTGTTGTTGACCTTCATCGGCACTTAGTTCCTCGGGAATTTACTCATTGCTATATGTCTTTTCTAGTTAATGGAATTAAAAGGCCTGGAAAATGAGCTAATGGCATTGTCAGAATAGGTGTATTGATAGCATAATCCTCAATTCAAACATATTCTGAATTACCAAGGAGATAATATGTCATCTTCAGCTACTCTGCATTATCTTGTCATGGTGTCTCTGGTAGGCAGGGAAGAGGTCACTGCAGTCTCTGTAAGAGCTCTGTATTTTCAGGTAGCCTAGAGAATGATCTGAGCAGTGCCAGGGAGTTTAAGACAAATATAAATTATTTTCACAGTTGTATTTGCAAAGAAATATTTAGTAGTAATAATAATTTATGTGATTAATATTAAATATTAGTTTGACTGAACAATTCCAAAGGGTTTTTTAATAGATTTAGGAAGATGTGATTTATCATTCAGCGTGCGAACAGTAGGAAAATAGGAATTTTGTGTGTGTGTGTGTGTGTGTGTGTGTGAAAACTCCATTACAATAAAGAGATCATAATGATTAAAGAGACTAACAAGTGGCTGGCCTGGCAGTTTAATAACCCAAGTCTTTCCCATATGATTTTTATCATTGACCATAGGTACTGATACTTGTGAGGTATTGAATCACATAGCTGATGAAAGGAAATATAAGAGAAAAGCTTTGTACTAGGCGGTTTACAACTTATAGGTTTAATATGTATGGCATTGTAATGTTATACATTAATACGTATTACTGTCCATATAACCAGTCAAAAGCAAATGCAAAACATTTGAGACAGAAATAAATTGATTTTAATCTGTAAAAATTGGCAGAATCACACAATCAGAATATTCTGTGTTTGAAGGGACCTGTAAGGATTATCAGAATCCAATTTCCAGCCCTGCACAGCACTGTCCCTGAGAGTCACACCACGTGCCTGAGAGCATTGTCCATACACTTCTTGAATTCTGTCAGGCTGGTGCTGTGACCACTGCCCTGGGGAGCTGTTCCAGTGCCCAACCACCCTCTGGGTGAAAAACCCTTTTCTGATATCCAAACTAAACCTCCCCTCACACCCCTTCAGACCATTCCCTCATGTCCTGTCACTTGTCACCATAGAGAGTGCCTGCCCTTCCTCTTCCCCTTGCGAGGAAGTTGTAACTACAGTGAGGTGTCCTCTCAGTCTATTCTTTCCCAGGCTGAACTGACCTCAGCCACTCCTCATATGGCTTCCCCTCAAGGCCTTTCACCAGTCTCCTTGCCCTCCTTGTCATGTTTCCTACTAACCCCTCCTGTCATGCAGATGTTTCACTCYCCTTTCTTTCCTCTTCGAGAACTCTGGATTGCTATGTGAGTTTGTTTCTGTCTTTGATTATTGGGGTCTAATGCTTGTTGTTCAAAAGTGATTGCTCTGCTCATACTCATAGAACTTTGTACTTCTGGTCATTTCCTGTCAGTAGGGTGTCAGGTCTGGACCTCTTTATCTTCCAAGATCAGAATGCATCCAGTTTATTGGAAGCAGGCAGGGTTGGATGCTGTAGCATTACAGAAATTTAAAACAGTGGTAGCTGAACATCAAACTGTAAGACACCTGCTGAGATAACACATGAAATTCTAACATTCTTTGAGAAAAGAATGAGTCCAGAGGCTGAAAGAATTGCTTGATTTGAGGGACAAACAGAACAGAATACTGAGCCACATTTATATATTTGCTCATACTATGGAATGACCTCCAGAGACATCTGGAATAGAACAAAAGCAATTGGTTTTTGCTGATATAGTTCTACAAAGTATGGCTTTCTAAAGTGGGAAGAGAATTTTTAAATTGTCAGGTGGATGTGCAATGAGCAGATGTTCTTGTTGCTGCATTTCATAAGTGGAAATTTCTTTTGAGGAAGTAATGACATTTCCATCAACAGGAAGATATACGCTTTGCTTTTCAAGTGACAGAACCATTGGAATGAAATTCATTGCTCAGTATCAGTGCTTCCACTGAAACAGTGATCCTTCTCAGATTTAGGTACAGCCCAGGCCACCAGCCATAGCAGTGGATCTCCTTATCCTACTCATCATTCTTCTCCTATTTGTGATATTTGAGCCTAGACTGAGACAGCTTTTCTCACTCTGGTGAAACTGATGGTGTTTGAATACAGTGGTTATGAAATAGGTGGGCTTTCAATGCAGGAAAAGGTGATGCAGGAAAAGGTGACTATCTTATGCTGTCACTTGCAGCCACAATACTACCTTTTTTTAAAAAAAAAAAAAAAAAAAAAAAAGAGTAATATTAAATTTCCATTATAAATTTAATTTTAGGGCAAGATGGTGAAAGGAATGGGGGGTGCCATGGACCTGGTATCCAGTGCACAGACCAAAGTGGTTGTCACCATGGAGCACTCAGCCAAGGTAAGGCTCTGCCACTTCTTTCTAAATTAGTGTTTTGTGCTGCACCAAAAAAAAAGAGAAATAAACATTAAAAAAAGATGTATTAGTTCTGCTACTTTATGAAGATTTGGTAGTTTTGCTGTTAGTTATTATGGTGGTGCAAATGAAGCCTAAGTTAATATGGTTCCTTTCCTCCTGCAAGTGAATCATTCACTATGGCAAAAAAAAATTAACTTGATGTTTAGAAGCTCAGCATATTTTTTTAGCTACTTCATGCAAATTTAATGGGGGTGGCAATTGCCAAAACTACAGTAGAAACAACTCTACTCTTTGCCTCAGAATAATTYGAAAAATGAGGTTTCCCGTGGTTAAATACTTGTTATGATGGAAAGATACTTACCTTTGRAATTGCCAGTCAAATTGATACTGACAGCTTCATAGAATACATTTTTTTGGCATGATGAAATGCAGGCTGCATCATTATGTGTTAGTGGTTAATCTAGACACTTCTTTGTGGGACAGTGATGTAGATATATGCTAWAGATATAAGTCCTCCACTAAAGGAAACAGGAAACCTTTCGTTTGAAACTTCTAACACGGGAGAAAAAAAATGTACTGAAGGAGGAAAATCTCTATATTGAATGTTTAAAAATCTACTTCTTGTTTAATTTTTGTGTTTCTGTTATTACAAATTTGTTATTATTCTGCAACAAGAATTAATTTTGTATTGCTCAAGATAATATCCCTTGTCAGAATTTTCATGATAAATTATACTCAATGTGTAAATATTAGGTTAAGTATATTAACAGTTGTGTGTTTTTAAATGACATTTGAAGAATTAGTTTTCACTTGAAAATAAAAAAAAAAGGAAAAAAATTAGTAGTTTCACAATTAGTACTAAACTGTGATCTCAAGGGGCACTTTTTAAGTAACAGGGCTGATTTTAACCTGATAGTTTTCTTGTTCGTAAGTAGAAATAAGAAAATGAATGTGTAAAGCAAATTCATCCTCATGACTTGCATCACTGTCACACAGTCTCCCAAAAACGGAAGTAATATATGCAGTTATCCCTTTGCTCAGACACATACTTCAGGTATTAACGAGATCTGAATCAATATTTATGCTAAATGTCTACTTACTATGGAATTTGGTTAAGGCTTAGAGTCCACACACAATATAATTATTCAAAACAGTTTTTCTCTTAAAAGTACTATTGCTAAAATATTTTTCCAAAATGGGTTTTGGAAGTCGTTTGCTGGGTTGTCTGTAGGAGTACTGAAATGTGTAAACAATGAAAACACAGATAGGTTCRCTGTTATGAACAGGTCAGGTGTAGAATAATTTGTTTTGGCATATATATACCTACTCTGGGCACTTCTGTGCATGATGTGCCTGGTCTGCTCTTCTGGAGAGCCAGTTATAGGTTTTCATAAAKTATTTTTTCTGCTTTTGTGGGAGGGCACTGCCAAACATTATTTTTATTTTATTCTTATTTTAAAATAGCACCTTTTTCCTCTTACTTAGTCTCTTTATGAGGTCTTCATATGGATGCTTCTTCCTTGTTCAGAGGTGAAGATGGTGAAATAGAGAAATCTAGTGTTTAGACATCAAAGACTGCTGTTACAGCTTTCAGGTGCTCTTCCTTTTTATTTTTTTTTTTAATGGACAAGTAAATATAGCACCTGTGAGACCTGTTCTGAAAGTCAGAAGCCTTTTGTTGGGGCTGTGTGCTTCTTACAGAGCTGATTTTCTATTCATGACTTTTTAATTCTTTACACTGAATATCTTCTTGAAAACTTATTGCATCTGAATCTCTGCATCGGAGGAGCAATCCTTCATCCTGCTCAAAGCCCAGGGTGCTACTGAGTGACAGAAATGTCTGCACCTACTGAGACTGTCTGTTGTGTCTGCTGACTCTTTAGTATTTAGGGATGTTTTTGTAATATTATTCTCCAAATGAATAAGAAATYCACCATCAGACATGAATGCTTCCTGTAAATCAACAGCAGTCAAGATCTGATGAATGGAAATAGAGTGAAAAATGTCGGGTATAGGCAGCACCTTCAATAGACATGTTCAACAGGTGCTGCAATAGGTATTTCTTGAGCTAGTTTTGTCTGATTTATGATCTTGTGGAGGCACTTTTAATCCTTTTCAAGCTTGGTTGGTTTTTTTTTTTTTTTTTTTTTAATAATAGCAATGGCTTGTTAAACATCAAAATAAGTTTTTACAAACAAATATGCTTAGTCCCAAACTAATCACATTTTTAATTATTAAGTTTTAATGTGTAGTGAAAACCAAAATTTTCAAAAATTTTTTTAACTAAAAAGATAGGTAAGAAAACATGAAATGAGCTTGTAGAACATTCTTCATCTTAAGAAATGCTGTTGAGGAAGGGTAACAAACAAATACACCAAACAATGAGGGAATGGAGGAGGTGGGTGCAGACTTGTCACTGCCTTATAATCAAAGAAGGAATAACTAACTGACTTTAGCTGAAAGAAGAACACTCTCCACGGCCAGCTAATGAAGTTGTGGATGATAGCAGAATGATGAAAAATCCCAAAGAATTAAGTCTATATAGAAGGAACTAAACTATTTTATGCTGTCGAGTTCATCAATGACAATTAAATACTATTGCCCAGAAGCAGTCTCTGCCTGAAAAAATCTGTGCATTAGAGCATATCAGGAACCAGGAGAGCATATCTGGAGAAGGGTATTTAAATTTTTGCTCCATATGCTTAGCTCACTGTGAGACACTTCGGAAATTGACCTTAAGTCAAATTCATTAGCTTTTCTTAATGTATTTTTTGCTGAGTTACCTCTTATTTTATAGCCATGAAGAAAAAAAAAAAAATAGGATATAAGCTTGTTATCTGACATCTAAACAGTCCCTGTGCATCTGTGCCTAATTTGCTAAATACTGCCTGAGAGAATTAGAAGTCAAGTTCTTGCCCCCTATACCATCAGTGACATGTTTTGCAAAACACAGTGAAGTAAAGGCTGGTAATTGTTCCATGTTGTGAAATGAGTTCTCTTCACTATTCAGAAAAACAGAATGGAGATGAGTTTGAAGCGGTTGATGTGGGCATGACTGAAACATGGAAAACTGAATTGAAAGGTCCTTTCTCATACTGTGAAAAAGTCTGATTTTAATATGTTGTGGAAGGCTAAGGACATTTTTGTTCTTCAACCACAGAACTTCTTATTTAAAGCAGACTGGAACATCTAAGGTTTTATGTATCTACACAATAGTCTTTTCCTTTATCTGAACAAATCCTGAATAAATCTGAATAAATTCAGATGTTAAAAATCATGCAGTTCCATTTAAATTGCACATCTTACAGTGCCCTCCTGGATATCTTCCAAAAGTCACAGAATCATTTAGGTTGAAAAAGGCCTCTAAGATCGTCGAGTCCAACCTCTGAACAGAGCAGGAAATGCATTTCATCTTTAAGGCCAACTGRTAATACAATAATCCTCAGCTCAAGTGTTAAGGAGCTCAAATATATCAGTTCTCAGGGTCACAGGAGCCATTTGATCTGTCACCTCTGCAAGTCCATGTCTTTCAATCTCAATTAGATACCAAGAAGAAACACTTCATTTCAAAGGTCTGAAAAGTATATCTGATATGTTACTGAAGATATTACAAATAGCACAGATTAATCTTGGCTCTTAGGCAAATTGCACGAGGATGTTCTCAACAATATAAGTCAATCAACTGAAAGTAAACATAATGAAGAAATAGTTCCTCACAGAGAAAGATAAACTCAAAGGCACATGGACTGCTCCTTTTTTGTCACTCAAAGTGGCTTGCAAGATAGGTCCTAAGTTCATTTTAAATCTTAAAGTAAACTCATGGTTCCAATTATTTTTGGTATAGCATTCACATGGTTAAATGAGACATGTTATTCTCTGAGAGTTTTAAATGCATAACTCTAAACTGATAATTAGACAAAAAATTAAAAGCATGGGGTAATGGGAGAAGTGTGTACTTAATGCTATCTCTGTTAAACACTTACAAGCACTGACCAAGAAATGTAGTGATCTATCTGCCTTATATCCATTCAGAGCTCTTATTAATTTAGTATGATCTAGAGCCATTTGTAAACTCTTACTTTAAAAAAAAAATTAAGAGAAAAAAAAGGAAAAGTAAAAAAGAAGACAAGGACTTTCCCAGACACACAGTGGGAACAGGAATTCAAGGTGGGTAAATAAACTGGATTTACTATTTTCAGAGCATGACTGTGCACTTGAACKCTGGGGATTCTTCTGTGTATGGCTGATCCTGCATATATAGTTTGTGATAAAGGATAAGATAGGGAAATACATTGTCATAATGTTGTTCCCTAATTTTTATCCTTCATGTGTCATCAGTGAGGTTCCATGTATCTCTTGCCCTCACACTGTGGCAGGAAGGGCAGATTATTAAGCAGCAGTGTGTAGAATTTCTAAACTCAGGAGTTCCATCAGTGATACAGTAAGATTCTTACTACTCTGCCACAGAAGTGAATTCAAAGYGTGCTCTGAGCACATTGAATGTTTCAGTATCACTGAATGGCTACATCTGTGATTTTCAKGTACATATTTGAGCTTTCTAAAAACTGTTGTTTGTATGTTGTTAAACACAGGGCAATGTCCATAAAATCTTGGAAAAATGCAGTTTGCCACTTACTGGGAAACAGTGTGTTGACCGCATCATTACAGAGAAGGTAAAGTGCTTTTCTTGACTCCTTGTTAATGATTCCCTCCACTATCCGTAATAGAAGTAGAAAAGCTTAGTGAAAATTAAGAATATATTGGGTAACTGTTGCCACTTTTGCCTGTTGCCATTGTTACACTGTTGCCAAGAGTAAACATGGCCTTGGAGTTCAGGTCCAGAGATCCTGGGACTCATATTTTTCCTTTTAAATCTTTCACATCTACCAGACTGAACTGTATCCTTAGATGCCTTCAGAACAAAAATGCCACATATGACTGGCATGAAAATTGTGTATCTCCTTATTTATCCTGACATATTTCTGAAAATTTGCTATGAGATTCAAATTTTCAAATACAGCTGTAATCAAGCTTTGGAGGCAAAGGGGCATGTTTGTTTGGTTTTGGTCAAGGTTTTTTGTTCATTTTTGTCTTTTTGTGTTTATTTTTCTTTTTTCCCCAGCGGAACACATATAAGTTGGACAATTGGCATATTTTTTTCGTGTATACTACATACTGTTTTAGAGAAACCTGTGTCTGCAGCAGAGCTTTAGTTCTTTTGCCCTTACTTGATTAAATTTGTGAAGCAATTTATTCCCCAGTGGAAGTACATGTGAGCATCTGATACTGCTGCTGCTCAAAGTACCTTAGTGGATCTTTTCAGCAAATGATAACAGACTTAAGGTTTTTGCTGTAACCATACTCCTTTTATTATCAGTGTTTACATTTTTAAGGACTTAGAGTAGTCCCTCTGTGAGCCATGTCTCATGCCAAGTGGAATGCATCAAAGGTGCTGRTGTAGAATTTACTTTGTCATGGTAGTATATATTGCTACATTTAAAGGATTTTTCTTCACAAAGTAAGGGAAAATATTTTAAAATGTAGAACTTTTTTCTTTTTTTTTAATTAGCCTTTTACTAACTGGCCACATACAAATGTCAGTTACAAAGAAAAGGAGAGGGAGCAAAGACTAATAGAATCAAGCAGAAATTTCTCTAACATTCATAAGTTACCAGATCTTGTGACTTTATTAGGAAATTACACACATGTACAACAACATTTAGATAGTGTTGCAAGTTTTGTTTTCATACTAGCATCCTGGTGTGTATGCTCCTTATGCCCAGCTTCTTTTTTGAGACTTAGAGAAGCTGTCCTTTTTCAGTGCCATAAAGCAGTTTCATGTGCCCAGAGGACAACTAGACTTTAGTACCCTTCTGTGATGAACTTAAGACTTCACTTTCGTTTCAAGTTCAAGCTCCACTGGTCTTTTGCTAYTGAACTTTTATTTTTAAGGAAAATTACTTTAGACCTTACAGTTTCCCTGGCAACTGGCTTGCAACCTGTGTATCTCCCTCTGGTAGGCACTATTAAAGTGTGCATTGTTTTACAGGTGTTTCTATTTGATGCACTTGTAAGTCTCAGAAGTGGAGTGCATATCTTATGAATGACATCAGACAGAGCAGCCTTTGCTCTATTAGCCTCCTCCTTTCAGGCTTTCTTTTAAAAATACTGCAAGAAATCTTGTCTTTCATTGTTAGCTTYTAAAAATTCTAGCATTTCCATTGGGTGTGCAACAGCCATTGGAGAAATTTATAATGTGACAAAGACAATCTCTCTAATGGCTCTAAGAAGGAAATAAAAGAATGAGGGAGACATTCTCTTCCCCTSTTTCTTTTGTGTTCTGTTGGTGGATGTTGTCATGCAGCAAGGAATATCTCGGCCCTTTCCTTTGAACTTCCCATTCGCTCCCCATTAAAGCAATGGGCATGGTCCTCAATTCCTGCAGTGATAGTCAGTTGTACTTTTCCCCCACAAAGCTAACACATATAGCATTCTAGATGCTTTACAAATAAATGTAGCAGAAATCTTTATTGGTCATTTATGAAAGTCAAAAGTAGCATCTTTTTTACTGAAGGAATGGCATCTACTTTAGCAAGCCATTTTGAACATTACTGCATTTACATCCTCATTTTCTCCTTTAATAACAAAAAAATGATTATGTGCTTTTTGAACTTAATAGGCAGTGTTTGATGTGGACAAGAAGAAGGGATTGACTCTCATAGAAATCTGGGAAGGACTGACAGTGGATGATATCAAGAAAAGCACTGGCTGTGACTTCGCAGTAAGTAATTTTACAAAGCAGTATAGCTAATCTGGAGACATAGCAAATATTCTCCACAAATGCTTATCACATGAAGACTTAAAGTATATTTTGTCTTTATAGGTGAGGGCTGAATAGGYTACCTGTGGGATTTAGAATGAAAAATAATTTGGAGCTTATATAGTGTGATGATGTCTAAAGCATCAGAAGCCAGGAAAATCAGGAGAGATGGAGAAATGACTAAGAGTAAAAGGGCAAGTGGAAAGGAAACTTCTATGCTTTGAAGAGGGGGACTGATTCATCTCTGAGAGGTGGATAAATACTTTTTTTCTACTGTATAAGTTAGTTTACCTAACTCTCTGTAGCTAATTTTCCATGCTATCATTAGATGGAGTTGTGAATCTTTTTGACAGGACTGACTACTGTTGTCCGTTCTGTGTTAGTAGTGCCAATCAGTGAACTGCACAAGACTGCATTGTACAAATGGAATTTAGGCTCTGCATCAATCCAGAAAGCCCCTGCCTTTTGAAATTCACATTCATTCTTAAGTCTAACTTAATGCAAATGCAGCACTGGCTTATTAATGGGAAGCTGTAACRCTCTGGAGTGTAACTGCATGCCCGTGTGGCTCATAGTATAATTTCTTCATGATCTGTCCCTACATGAACATTATAAAATTTTTTCTTCTGTTTTTTGGAGCAGTTCAGTTTTCCTTTGGCAAGGACAGCGAGTCTGACAGTGTACAAATTGTGCTGTAAAAATAGCTGAGGAATATTTAGTAGCAAAGTAAAATGCTCCTCCTTTCAGGGTTTCTCGTCTTGACTATGACAAATAATTGACAGACTGCAGAGCATTTAGTGTGTGCAAGAGTTTTTTATTAAGGCTTTGAGAATACTCTTGGTAGTAAGGAAAACTTCCTGAGCAATGAACCTGTGAATTTGCATTTATTTCCTGTGTCCATAAGAGAGGATTTCTGATAACTAAATATGATTGTGTATGATTCTCCTTTGTTATTTTAAAGATCTGTTCACTGCTGAAAATACCTTTAATTACCTGAGAAAAAAATGTTGGATTAAAGACTAATGGCCTGCAGAGTACTGGAAGTTGCTACAAAATCACTTTGCTAGGCTACTAATTTTCCATGTAAGGGAAAATTTCCATTTTAGGGAAGCCATTATTTTTTAATTTAAAATGGAATCAACCTTCCATATATAGCAATTCTGTGTGGAAATGAAATTATTTAGTCAGCTTCTGACTTTGACCTAGGAAAAAATCATCAATTTTTAAAACCTTGATCATGTCAGTACTTCTTTTCCCTGGGTTGATCCACCTGTCAAGCAGCTAGCATCCAGAATTAAAACTTAAAAATAAACTTTGTAGGTTTGTAGCTATTGCAGTCAGTCACTTTGGTTCTTTTTGTATATTCTGTTCTTTTGTATTTAATTTGGGCAGAAACTTCATGATGAATTTGAAGGTACCAGGTTTAGTAAACATTTAAGTAGATGTAAACAATGGGAAAGGACTTTGTTTTCAGAAGACAGGACTCCTTACTTGTTTCAAACCTGCTTGTTTGAAAGGATCTGGTGGTTTTTTGGTTGAGATGATACATATTCAACATGCAATAGATATATATTCAATTAAGTATGTGTTTCCCAAAGTAAAGGCCAGCAGCCTGTGCTCAAGGTGGTGAAAGCAGAAGCAAACAAAAAGTTCAGAGAAAGAAGTGACAAGATTAAAATGATGGGCTATGAGATTAAGCTTTGCAAGAGGCATAATAGGGCAAGACAATTGGGTCCAAAAGAAAGATTAACACCACCTGCTGTTCCTTGGTGCTTTCTTGGAAATATTACAAAGGAGTGGTATAAATTTCAAATCTTTTGTGTAGCCTGAAGTTAGCAGTTGATGAGAAGTATTGGAACAATGCACTATCTGGGTCCCTAGGATACAGCTCTCTAGGACTGGGGACACTACACAGGCACCTACAGTTTCCTTCTCCAGAAGGCAAACTTCAGCACAGTCTGCTTTGTTTGGCTGCCACAGTCATGCATGAAATCACAAGCTGCACTAAAGGAGCTGTGGGCATGAAAAATGTAGATGCATCTTGGTTTATGCATTTACATGTTCTTACCTTGAAAGCAGTGGCTTGCATAAATGCTTGCAGAGCAATGCTTGTTTGCAAAGTGTGCTCATTTCCTTCCTTCCTTCCTTCCTTCCTTCCTTCCTTCCTTCCTTCCTTCCTTCCTTCCTTCCTTCCTTCCTTCCTTCCTTCCTTCCTTCCTTCCTTC